GGCTAGATGGGGCTTTGAGCAACCTGGTCTAGTGGGAGGTGTCCCTGCCCATGGCAGGGGGGTTGGATCCAGATGATCTTTAAGGTCCCTTCCAACCCAAACCATTCTATGATTCTGTGATTCACATTTTTTAAAAAATTCCACAAAACCTAAACCAAAAACCTGAATTGTTTTAAGTACCACAAGATTACACTACTGTAGTACCCCTAGTGCTTATACATGCTCCTGATTCCATTTTATCATTTGAAAGCTACTCAAGCTATACATTTTCATGACAGTAAGCCCTTTGCTATCACTTTCACACCCCCTTCTTAGACCCAAGATGCTAGAAAGACACAGATGACAGCAGAATTCTTCAGAACTAAACCAGCAGTGAAAGGAGAAAAAAACCAAAAAAGCTGAATTTGCCATATCTAGGGCTGACAGCTACCCATAACCATCATCTTTCTAGGTCATTTGGTTAATTTTTCCTACTGCAATAATGCATCTCAACTACAAAAGTCCTATTTTTAGTGAGAACCCGCCTAGACACTAACATACAATTTTCTGTCAGCCCTACAGGCCTTCTAAAACTATTCCTTTAAGACTGTCTCCAGTCTTACTTAGGCAGCAGAAAGAGAATATTCTCCCACCTCTGAGATTTACACAAAAATTATCAGATTACAAGGGTGTAAAGAACTGTTGCTTCTAGGCTCCATTAAAAGCAAAGAGGTAAATTCCTGCTCCTCCTTCATAATGACTCCTAGACAGCTGCAGCAGCGTGACCAATGGTGAAGCTAGACTAATCCCAACAGGTACAAGAAAGGAGCAGTGAGGAGAATTTGTCCAGAATAAAGGATAGCTACCTTCCTCCCCTTCTCTTGCAGTATATCTATTGAGGGCTATTCAGCTTTGATGAGCTGCACTGGTAATGGCAGCAAATTGGAACTGTCATCTCAAAAGGACTCTGGTATAATATTCAAAGAGGGGTAAATTGAGAATAGTGAAGACAGATAGCAGACATCAGTTGGGCACTATGTGATTCAGTGAAAAGGATATGCCCATCTAAAGGTTACAAATGGCCTTTCTTAAGTGACAGGAGGAAAGAGGAGTGGCATTTTAATGGGACTTATATCCCCCCAAAAACATGGGCCAAACATGTGCCATCACATGCAGCAATCTTTAGCCTGCACTACAAAAAAAAACAACAACAAACCCAACCAAGCAAACAAAAAACCAACTACAAAAGAAGGTAGTCTGAAACTATCTGCAAGGCATACATTTCTTCAGCACTCCTTAGCTGAAAAGCTCTTGCTGTGTCACTAATTACCACTTAAAACAAAGCTTACAGCTGACTTGCACATAAGGCTCAGGTCTTTCTGTTGTCACTTGCTGAGTGCAACATACCTCACGTTCCAAGCAGTGGTGAAGTCAGGGT